AAAATTAAAAATGCATTTATGAGTTCCTCAAAATTATTTTCCTAAGTCCTTAAAATCCTACCTCTTCCACAAGTTCTGTAGCTAAGCCGATCCACCATCCACCCCATTTATGCCAAGAACGAACTTCATTGTTTATGTTGGACAGTGTCCAGTCAAATGCTTCTCACTGAAGTCTCTTCTGGGTCTTTTACAAAATATATGAAAGAAATAAAATACTAGCGTTGTGCTGGAATGGGTCCCCAAATGTGCTTTTGTGTTAATGCAGACAAGTCTGCAGGTTTCAAGGAATTATTGATTCTTCCTATGAAGTTTTGATTTCCTCTTTAATTATATAATTCCATACAGGAGGCTACTTTGCATGAGCATGCTGTTAGACAGGACATAGTAACACACCCTACTGTGATAGGTTCCAAAAGTAAACCTTTTTTGAGGAAGTGTGTAGCAGGCTGTGTGAGTCTCATTCAGGTAAGGCAGGTCTCGACAAATCGAGTCGACTGATCCTCACTGCTTCCTCGCGCTGTATAGTGATCCCGGTAGCCGGAATATGACGTGATTCCGGCCCCAGCATCACTACAGGGAGCAGAGAGGAGCTGCAGGTAGATTACTGCTCCCTCGCACACAGGAAGAGCATCCCCACTGGACCCAAAGGAAAGATCCACTGAGGTAGAGAGGCTGGGTGGATTCATAAAAAAGTCAATGTGAGTTTGTGAGAAAATGTGTATGTATGTCAGTGTATGTGTCTGTTTCCCATCACATGAGAGAGGTGTTTTTACTCACCCTTTTCCCCACGCCATGCCGGTTTTGCCGCGGCTTGTTACGCTTTCATGGCTGAGATCCATCCATCTTTATGATCTCTGCTAAACCAATGCTTTCCCATAGGAAAGCATTGGGAGGATATTGCGCATGTTCTCTATGGGTAACATTCAGCGCCTCCATACAGAGTGTGGAGACAGTGAACAGCACTGACACAGGACTCTCTAGTGGCCGTCTGAGTGATTGTCACTAGAGGTGTTACTAGGCAGCAATGTAAACACTGCCTTTTCTCTAAAAAGGCTACAGGGACAGGCTATAGGCACCAGAACAACTACAGTAAGCTGTAAAAGTTCTGGTGATTGTAGTGCCTCTTTCAGAATTGTATATTTATCATTGAAAATTAAACTTTAATAGTTTAAAAAAAACTGTCTGCTAACTTTTTTTTAGCTGGCTCCTAGATTCCAAGCAAATTTGTCAAGCCCTGAGGTAAGGTGTGGCTAGGGCTGTGTAAACAAAGTAATTTAACTTCTAAACAGCAACAAATAAAACAGTGACATGGGGCACGATGTACACACCAAAAAACACTTAATTAAGCTAAAGTTATTTTGGTGCTTAGAGCATCCCTTTAACAATGCAACAGTGTGACTTGCTTAAACATAATGAAAAGCCCACTCTGCTTACTGAAGCATTTAGAAATACCCACCCTTCGGACCCAAAGTCTCAATTGTGTTTATCTTTTTATCTTCTTATCACATATCTAAAGAAAAACAACTTAAAAAAAAAAAAAAAAAACACAGGATGTTTTACAATGTAGTACAAATGCAACAAGTCATGCATGTTACACGACTTACTTGCAGTTACTGCACTTTCCACGTCCGAGCTGTTGTCCTGATCATTAACACGTGGGCGCTCCTTGCTTGGCTTGAGGCTTTGCTCGAATTCTGCCGATTGAGGGGCGCTGGTGGTTGGGCCTGCTGTGCAGTTCAGAGCGCCACCATCACGGGAAGATGGACTGGCCTGCAGTAATACCAAAAACACAGTCAGCACGTTGATGATTACACAGAAAGGGAAAGAAAGAGTTAAAAGTGCATAATACAATCACTGTGCTTATCCTGTGTATAAACAGAACTTCACAAAAACGCTTTCTTGAGGAGAAGACCACGAACAAAAACCTGTAAAACGCACCTTTCACAGTTTCTGCTGCCAGATCTCTTAAAATACTGTGGCAGGCGCCAGCTTTTTTTTTTTTATCTTCTTACTTCCAAGACTATTTAAACAAAGGTCAAGTAAGCTGCCAGATTGCACACAACACAATATCGGTTTTTACCTTTATAAATGAAATTTTATCAGCCAGATTATATTTCCTCAGAGCTCCTAAACGAATGTACATTAGAATGCATACTGTACTATATATTAACTTTTGAACATGAATACTGCACTCTATGCATTAATTATGCATGCTAAAGACAAAATTCATTTATTGATTAATAACCCAGTGTAAAAAAGTTACTCTAGTTAATTGGTGACCTTATCCTAAATTGATATATTGTACACATCGGGGAAATTCATAATATATACACAATATTTACAACCACTGGCCATTTCATATAACATACACCAAGTTCATGGTATGTACAATGATTATTTACAACTAATTTGCAGTCCTGATATCCCATACGTGTGGGGATAATATATCCTAGGTGGATTCACCACCTGTTAATGTACTGGTAGGCCTTAAAAATTGAAGAAAATGAAAAAAATACTATTAATGGCAAACAATAAAAAATGAAAAAATAAAAGACTTAAAAAACAGAAAAAATAAAAAAACTGAAAAAGGGAAAAATCAAGAAAAGAAGTCTGTAAAGCAGTCCAGTTATGATGACTAGTGCACGAGAAATTGCTTTGTATATTGGTGGATCTCACCATCAGTAGTGATGTCTTCGCAGGGACATGCTGTAGTTGTATAAGGGTTTTCCTCGAATGTAGAGGGCATAACCCAATGGAACAGTGAAAAAGAAAGTCCTCTTTAGTTTTTAAGTATCTGGCCGTGAAGTTCTCATAAAAAGTCAGATTGGTCGGCAGAAACGACAGTACTGAAGGCAATCCGCTGAGCGGCAACAAATGAACGCAATTTCTTATCCCCACACGTATGGGATATCAGGACTGCAAATTAGTTGTAAATAATCATTGTACATACAATGAACTTGGTGTATGTTATATGAAATGGCCAGTGGTTGTAAATATTGTGTATATATTATGAATTTCCCCGATGTGTACAATATATCAATTTAGAATAAGGTCACCAATTAACAAGAGCAACTTTTTTACTCTGGGTTATTAATCAATAAATGAATTTTGTCACAAACTCGGTTATGAATTATGAATTTTTCTTTAGCATGCATAATTAATGCATAGAGTGTGGTATTCATGTTCAAAATTGTTGTATATACTATGAGGTTAAATTGGTGTTGACCTCAAATACCTGCACCCACATGTGATTGAGTGCCAGCACAATTTGAATTTTTTTATATATTAACTTTTCACCAATCAGGGGTTTGTGGCAAACATCTCTCTTTTTTTCTATTTCTTTGAAATAAACAAAAAAGTGTACGTCACAATTTATTGAATAAACCCTTTTCTGTGTTGTATTAGTGCCCTCTTAAAAAAAAAAATTTAAAAAAAAATATCATACCAGAATTAACCTTTTAAATAAACAAAAAATAAACGTAACTAAAGCGGTCGTAGGTGAAATCACAGTTATTACACATCAAACAAATATGTAAAAAAATGTGCCAAACAGCAATAATCTGGAGAGACTGTGCCGTTGCAGCAATTAACCTCTTTAATGCAGGCAATAAGCACCTCTTACTATTGTACTCAAAGTGTATAGAAAAAAAACAAACAAACAAGAGACCTGATAAATGAATGCTGGGTTGGTATACTTAACTTGTCTATATGTTGAACAGATCATGAAAAGAAAAGCATTTGTTTAGGATTTACAATGTGTCAGTCTTCATTCTCATATCTGGTCACATCACTATCCTAGTAGTAGGTTTGTTCACCTATGTGTTTTGTTAAAATTAAATGTTTGACTTGTTTAACTATTGTACAGCGCTGTATATAATGTTGGTGCTATATAAATAATTGTAATTATGACATGGCATCAGTTTTACATAAGCCGGGTATTTGGGACATTATATATTATGGAAGTTCCTTATTTTTATCTCATTCTCATTGACGTATTTGGGCATGACCCAGAATCTCAATGCCTCACTGTCACAGTAAGAGTGCCACAAAGACTCTTATTATGATACATTGCGGTTCTATTTGTGCTATATAAGGGGTGAACTCTGGTTTCCCCCTGCAGTACACACCAACATTTCCCTCACAGCACTAACAGCTGGCCTGTGTACAGCAAAGTTATTGTGAATCAATGTCCCTGTGAAAATTTTACCCAGATTGCACATAACAGCGAGCTGCTGGCGTAGAAACGCATTAAGCCCTTGAATAACTCCCAGCAGTATGCGCTGCAAGAGTGCAGAAAAATTTCCGGTACTGGATTCTGCATAGCGGAACATTTATGAGTGGAAAAAAAAAAAGAGGGGGGAAAAAAAGGGGGTAACAGCTGGTGAATGTTACGGTTCAGCAATTTTCACACTGCATCCACAAGGCAGAAGAGTACACAATATTAATTATGTGCAGAGAACAATGCTTTACCCGTCACTTTGTAGCTCGGTGTAGAGAACAGAATGGCTTATTCTCTGTGTGATGAGCCATATATTACAACGTCCTATTGAGAACCGAAGAACAATTTTTCAGGGGCTAATGATCTACAAAATCCAAGCATTGAATATTAATCAGAGTAACCTCATCGGAGCAGCCGGAACATTATCCTAGATACCCCGAATACATCACCATCATTCCATGAAAGAGCCTTTTGGAGTTATGCTGGATTCAAACCAATGTAGGAAATCTACCTCATTTACTGAAAGGCAGCCAAGTGCACCTCCACCAGGCCAGCAGTAGGTGCAAGAAACTTGATTTAGTCTGTTCCAATCAACTAAGCTAAATTCCATACAGCAGGTATTACAGCCATGAATATTGTTCGATCCTAGCTAGCATGGTAGCCAGAGGGTAGGTCATAGCATGGAATGAAACGACCAGTATCGAACTGCTGGAACAAGAACACTTGCTGGTGACTACCGGTTCAAAGGTAGTGACGTTACCACTGCTCTAAACACGAGTGCCACCCAAACTGGGACATGAACCCTGGATTTTCAGATTAAAAGTGATGCTCTACCGACTGAGCTATATGGGCCAATGCAAAGTACTTTCAGACTAATCTATAAAACCAAACACTCAGAAGACATTTCGTTTAAAAACGGATTAAAAAGAGAAACTAGTTGTACTTTGTTGCAGGGAGGAGAGAAAGACTGTACAAAATTATTGGGTGTTTTTTCTCACCCAGTTGAATAAAGCTCAAATATATGTAAAGTATGTTAATTCTCAGGAGTTGAGTATAAATGGGACAGATGTAGCTGCATATGGAGGAACCATATTGGAGGGGGAACTTCAGGACCACTAAAAAGTAACACTACGCATCGACACAATGAGAGCTTTTCGGATCGGGGCATTTTTTTAATAGTCTTGAGAAGCAGAAACGGAGACTGGAATGGTAAATAGGAAACCCACTCTTCACCGTGAATGATTTTGTAAGTTTGAACACCAAGTAGTGCGCATTGGAGCTGCACATGGATATTAGAATTCAACTAGACTAGCAGCCTCCCCCCCACCCCCCCCCTTCTCCCATGGTACTGTATCTGTCAGGAAATCATTCCCAGTTACACAAATGAGGAATAATTGATTTAAAGAAGCCATCTGTTTATATACAGAGAGCATCAGCTCAATTAAGAAGGATCTGTCCCTCACGATAAGAGCTTGTCTATCTTTGCCCCTCTGCAAGGGACTTCTCATGCCCAAAACACGTCCTAAAAGAATCAAAACAAATTAGAAAAGAGCTGAATGATTGTGGCGCTAACGTGTTAATGAATGCCTCCAGGCTCTTCAGATTGTAAAGGACTAAATTCAGCAAAAGGAACATTTCCAAGTCAAATCTAGAGGGAAAGTTGAAGGTCAAAAGGGTCAGCAGGTGTACAAATAAAATTCTCCTATATATTGGGCCACAGAACTGAAAACATTTGATTTGCGTTTAAATTTATTCCATTCGCCAACTGCTAAAACGTGTGACAATTACAAACAATTTATTTTTTTTATTTTTTTTTATTTATTTTTTTAAATCAAGCGTATGCATACATGCCTTATCACATTAAAGGATTGCTAAAAGGCAAACAGACCGCTTCTTCTTAATGAACTGGTCTGGGTGCAGTAGCCCTGCCATTTTAACCCTGCAGAGTAAAACATTGCAGTTTTATAGAAACTGCAATGTTTAATTGCAGGGTTAAATACACCTCTAGTGGCTGTCTTCCAGATTGACATTAGAGGCGCTTTCTCATTTAGAACCAAGAGAACCTTGACCCTGAAATCAATTGGAGGAGCCTGGCATTTGGTTGCACATGTCTCTATAAAAAGCAATAGAGTGGAGGAGACCACATTCAAGCAGACATCACCGGATCGCATCCAAGCAGACATCACCGGAAGAAGAGCTGGATTCAGAGGTGGCTTCAGAGTTCAGCCAAAGGCAGAGAGGTGAGACAGATGCCAGATTTATGTAGAAATTATTTTGCCATACACTTAAAAATTTACAAAAAAAAGTCGACACAGGCTATTGGCCCTAAAGGTGATCATTTGCACCAGCACTGGCTCTACAAAAATGATATCTGTCGATCCCTGAAGCACATGTAACAAATCAGATGTTTGCCCTTCCTGCTGGTTCATACTCAGGTAGGCCCCTAAGATCCCATGTACGGCGAGTGGGGAGTAGTGTGCATGCGTGTGTAAAACTGTAAGCCCTTCAGAAGAGAGTAACTAGCGTGGTATGTCATGTGGAAACCTGGTATTTAGGGAACTCAAATGTCAGTGAAAATGGCGTCAGATATGAAGCGAATATTCTGCTTTCAAAGATGATTGCGCTACATTAGTGAAAATTTACATTTGATTGTGGTCATTTCAAGAAAGATATACTGAAAAGTCTACAAACACAGCGTCACATACAAAGTAACTAAAAAAAGAATACATTACATCAGGTTTTAAGAAAACCCACAAAATCAGTTTCTGAGTCCCAGAGACCAGAGCAATGATTCTTTCTGTATAAAGTCAAATAGGCAGAGCAGCACCAGCAAAGTCAGTGAGACAGTCATTGGCAGGGGGATAGAGAGAGAGAGAGAGAGAGATATTTAATTTTATTTGCATTTTTTGAAGTTATTTTAAAGAATGATACATTGCACATATAAAGATCACACAGGCAATGCTGGCACACAAATGTAAGGCAGCCTCTAATAAAAATAAAAACAACTGTGGTCAATCCCTTTTGACCACAAAAACATAGAATGCTAGCCACTAAAATATACACGTTAGCCACTGAAAGCCACACAAGCCAAGTGCTTCTGCATGCCACAAGACCCATGCAGAGTATTGGCGTATAAATGGATGGGACAGAGTAGGATCACATAGAGAATGGGTAAGGCTTTATTTTACAGACTGCACTGATCACCATGGGTTTATATTCTCCTGATCCAGCTGCTCCACTGGAACAGGGGGGTGGGGGGAGGCTGGCACTAATTTAAAGGTCAGCCCAGTCCCTGTTGGTGGATTAGAATACACTGGAGCCTTTCTGCCTTGTATGATCACCGATGGAAGTTAGAGACGTTCATCTCCTCCTATAGCTCCAGGAGGGGTTTGTGAAAACCCTATCACCTCTCCACTGGATGCTGCGCAGTCCCAGCTGTTCTCGTTGTGTTTTGCTTTGGAAGCGGTTGATTATAATGGGCTGTTGCAGTAGGATAGCTTTAGGCACAATCACACGCATGTTACTGTTACTGTCTGTCATTTTATCAGCCTTCCAATAGAGGGGGCGGTGGGAGCACTGTGACAAACTGCTCTGCCTGCGCATGTTTTACCTAATGTAGACAAATGATATGAAGCTTAACCCATTCCACTGCCAGAGGGGCTGACAATGTGTTTCCCTTATGGCAGTGACAGATGGGCGTGAAATCCATTAAAATGCAAAATACTGTATTTGCCTAGAGGCAGTGAAAGGGTTAGATTAGGCCTGTGAAAGGAGAAACAATTCCCTCCAACCGTTAAACAGTTAAAGGGACACAGTGACACTTAAAAACCACCCTAAAATTCCCCAGCATTTTAAAATAGGTACCCCCAGGCAACACCAGATATCTGCACACCGATGTTAAGAGCAAGTTTATAAGCAGACAGCCACATATGCACATATGGTCTTAGCTGGCAGAAGCGGAGTTTAATGAGTGATGAGAATGACTGACAAATGTATTGGGAGTCTCCTGGGAAGAGTGCTGGCCTTGATGAAAGGATCAGCTTCCTACAAGCATTTCTGAACACATTGTTACTTAAGCTGAATACCCATATTTAAAAAGAAGATTGCAACAGGCAGAGGGCAGCAGCAATTTCCTGGGCATATATTGCCTTTAGGCACTGATGGGCTACAAATGAAAAACTCTGTCTTGCTGAACGGTGTGTTTGAAATTCACACAACGCAGGAAGGAAACCCAAATGTTAATCGAGCAGGAATCCCTAAAGGACTGACTTGATCGTTAACCGATTTCCTTCCAGAAGCCTGGGAATGCTACAGACTGTAGGTCAGCACATTTCGAGTGCTGCCGTCATCGCGAGGAACTGATGTGTGCCCAAGATAACATGGTGAATCTGGCAACCAAAAATCCAGTTTTGCTGAAACATGTTGCAGACCATTAAATCTGGGCCCATACCAGTGGTCTGTGTCATTGTCCCTTTAATGCCAAACAGATCGCAGGGCAGAAAAACATTTTGATGTTGACAGCAGGAGGTCTGGCTCCAGGTAATACTGAATGAAAAGGATTTTGGGCAGCTGTGCTAGGCGTTAAGGGTATGCCACGCTCATCAATCAGCAGCAGAGCAGGCGCTCCAGTTTCACTTAGGAAGCTGTGGTTTGGGAGAGCTGTAAATTGACGTATTTCGTGGAACAAATTAAGAACTTGAGAGCCAATGAGAAAAGTGCAGAGGCATGTGAGGAGTAAAGGCAGCATTGTTTCTCTTTGGCAGAATTAACCTCACAAACGTGATGTCACTTGGCAGAGAGAAACAGGTCAAGTCTTCAAGAAGCACTGGCAAACTACTGTAAGGAGCCACAGGGAAAAACACATGTGTGCTGTGTTAACTCCTTGAAGTGCCCTTTGTAAGCTACAACACAAATGTCCTAATAGCTGTACAGATCCAGCTGCATCAAAGGAAATGCAAATTGTTCTCAAGCAAAAAGGCCCTTAAAACCTGCCCAAATAGGTTGAGAGTCATTGGCTTAGGCCAGAGGAAGGCCACCTGGAAGAGCATTTCTACATATGGAGTTAACAGTTGAACCAGTCTGTAGGTCAATGTGTCAGACCATAGGTTGTAGGTCAATGTGTCAGACCATATTAAAGGGTCAATCTCAAACAATAAGTTGTAGCTTTGGGCCAGGACCTGGGTAATCTACTGAAAATTTAAGGCTCTCGGAAGTCACCACAATGTAATTTTCCCTCAGTAATAAACAATTGACACTTTGCAGAGTGTTTTTAGCATGCGTACATTAGGGTTTGTGTGTCTAGCTCAGTGGGAAGTGTTTTAAGAAGGCCTCAGATTACCACGTTCTTTACGAACCCTGATCTCACCTGCTTCTGCTTCAGGCAACATTTAGGGAAAGTAGCCAAAAAAAATTAGAAACACAAGCAAACGGCAGGTCTTACTATGCAAGGGGCATGAAAACTGGAGAGTGCTCTAGGAGCTTGTTTCAAATCTATTTCAAAAGGATAACAGGCATGACTTTTTAAAATAGAGATAGCAGGAAGAAATGTTACCAAAATAAATACATAAAATAAAAAGCACAAGACAATAGCGCCCAATACCTCCAATATTGTTTATACGGACAACATAATTTGCCGTTTTAATCACAATCATAAAATTGGATAGAAACATCAGTAGTCCATTATACAAATATTGCATATGCAAATAGTGTACGACTAATTGCAATGAATCCTTCTCCCTTAATACCCAGTACTATAAAAGATATAAACTACTCTAGATTACAGAACAGATTACAGATACACACATACACACACACACAGATTACCAACAGTTTCTATCATAATAATTTACGCA